GTGGCACAGCGCGCCACACTGGGTATCGTGGCTTCTAGTGTCCCGGTTTTCCCCAAATGAAGTAACATCCGTATGATGGTTTCACTGGGCGCGGAACACGGAGCGCTATCTTGCTTGTTTCATCATTCGCTCCAGTCGACCTAATTGCTTCAAACCTTCAGTGTCCCACTGCCAAAACAGCGAATGGCGCGTCACCCAACTCACGGGTCACTTGGGGAGGGTTCCTTCAACCGTAATTCACGAGTGCCGTTGGTAATATGAACACGTCCCACGACTGACCGCGTAAGGTCATAAGAAATCGGGTCAGCAGCAGCTACTGTCTCGCGATCCATTGTCCACTCCGGGCAGTGCACGGTCCGACAAGTCTCAAAGATGGACTGCGAAGACGATAGAATCCGTTCCCGTTCCAGACCAAACCGCGGCATCGCATCCGGGCTGTCGAACCCCAGGATCAGCGCTCCTTTGCGGCGACTTACTCCAGCTTGGTAAGGCCTCCATGATCGCCTTCGCATTGCATTTGAGGAGCCGGAAGGGCAGCCAGCTTCCCTTACTCCTGCACCATTCTGACTGCGTCCGTGATGTCCCCGAAGTCCACTGCTCATGAGATCTTCATCCTCTTCATCATGCTGGTCACGGCAGCTAATGTCGAGGACCCAACGCTGCGCAGACTGTTTAGTACAATAGTGCAAGTCTATATGGTACAGGCAGTCGAACATAGTACAGCTGTGCCTCTTTGCACGCTTTATCCGTGCTGCTGTTCAATCTCTCCATCTTCATCCACCGCTATCAGTAGTAGCTGGGTATGCACTCTGAGTTCTGCATCCATGATTTCCCCGATTCCACCACTAACGTTCGTTCTCCGCGTACTACTCATTAGTAGTGCATGTGGTAACAACTCTTCCAGTAATGTATGTGGCAAATGTTGAACTCGAACTGTCTATGCTGACAAGATCATATCTCTCATGAATTAACCGCACTGTTGCCTTAAAATATACTGGTTACTAATGCTACATCTGATCGGGAGAAACCCCGATTTCGTCGGTTGGTGACACTGACTTGTAGAAGCCCGTCTAAGACTGTGCGTGTACTCTTCTTTGATGTTTTCTTCTGGATCTGACACAATGACCATTGGAAACCGTCTCAGGTATGTCGTGCTCAGGTAACCAGTGTTGGTCGTACATTCGGTCCCTAGCATTAAGCTATTAGCACTTTCGTGGCTTAGTGGGGTAAGTCGGTGACCACAAGCTGAACAGTCATGGGTCCGAATTCATGAAGATAAGGAAGGGAACGCGAGTCACAGAAGAGTCTCAATGGGACAGAACTATCATCAGATGCTTTCTAAATGACGGTAAAGGCATAATCCGTTTTCCATCCATCCGTCTTTCTCTCGTTCTCTCAAGCGTTAGAAATTGTCACCTTATGGAAACGTGGGTCAAGATAACTAGAGACACTGCGCCGGAGTGCGTGGATTCAAGTTGAGCAGCTGAATCGAAATTAACATGGCTACTCATCGGTAGACACGTAAACCGCATGACTTGAACAGCATGAACGACATGAGCTAAGTAAAAAGTCGATAGAATCATTCGTGGATTCATAGTCCAATGGTCCACATGGAAAAATTGAATGGGTACATATCTTTAAGTCATCAAGCATTGAATGGTGCATGATGCGATTTATACAACCCATGGGATACGAGGGCGTAGCGAAAAATTTCCGGGTAGGCAGTAGATAGATTAGGTGAAGATGACGTGGCAAGAAAATGTGAACTGAAAATTTTTCAGCGGTTTCAACCCACAGACCCCTTTATCAGCAGCCCAGCACAGCTTACAAGTCATAAGGGTTGCTATACTAGGACTGTAAGTACGGAACTCAGTCGATGTCACTGGAGGGCGATTTGCTATGCCTACAGATGTGGTTTAGAGCACGACCAGAGTGCTGAGCGATTGTCTGCTGCGTTTGGTGATGATGCGCCTTCAAGAACCACCGTGTTTGAAAGGTTTGCAAAAGGCGGTCCCTGGATGATGAGGCACGTTGTGGTCGACCTGTGGAGGCCACCACCGTCGACAACATTGCTTTTGAGCAATCGATGCTGGATGAGGATGCAAGGATGACTGTGATACAGCTGAGAAAACCCATCGGGATCAATCCGCATCATCTTACAAGAACCTCGGCGCACGCTGGGTACCCCATCAGCACAGTGAGGACCAGAAATCAGCTCGGGTGAATCGGTGCCGCGCCATGCTTTCCAGGTTTGATGGTGGACATTCCAATGATGTTTGGGAGATCCATAGTGGTGCACCGTGCATAGTGGGCGCACCGTTTCAACCCAGAGACCAAAGAACAATCGACTCAGTGGACGGCAGTTGGTGAGGCGGCGCCTCAGAAATTCCGACGTGAGCGCAGTGTGGCCAAGCAGATAGTGTGTGTTCGTGGCCAATACCGGTCATGTGGTTGCTGTACCGTTCGTATGGCAATGCACAGTAAGCAGAGACTAGTATGCTACCCACTGTCTGTCACAATCGCTGGAAGCTGTAACTAGGCGTCGTCCAAGGACTCTAGTACCATGACAACGCACCTGACACAGGTTCTATGTCGTCGTAGATTTGCTGACTAGATAAGGCATTCAGGAAGTTGGCCACCCATCCTACAGTCCAAACCTGGCTCAGTGGGACTTTTTGTACCCGAATGTCAAGCGCATGATGCCTGGAATCCCTACGTATCTTCAGTAGCTGCAGTAGAGGTATTTATTGAGCTGTTTGAAGGGTTACCCGCTTCGCTGTTCAACTTTGCCATCGAAGATGTCCTACATCGCGCACTGGAAGGAGCCTAGAGCTGCAACGTTGAGCTTCTACCCGGGAGCAGAGTTGTGGACCTGGACTATGTTGGCGACATCGCTTTGCTGGGGGACGACTCGCAGGCTATTCAAAAACATTCTGAACAGCTTAGCGATAAAGGTATCTAAGTATGGTCTGTATTTTGTTCCATTCAAGTGTAAAGGTTTGCTTCAGGATTGGCAGGCGCCTGTGCCTACGCTCACCATTTCGGGTGTCAGCCTAGAGCTCGTTAACAGCTTTACTTACATCGGGAGTTGCATCACGGCATGTGGCGGTATTGGAGATGAAATTTCACAATGAACTGCTAAAGCTCGCCTTGAATTTACTAACCTGAGACACTTGTGGCATCGTCGCGATGTCAGTCTCAAACTCAAAGGCCGAGTGTACAATGCCACAGTTCGCGCTGTCTTACTGTACGGCCGCAAGACCTGGCCTGTTCGATCAGAAGATTTGAGAGAAGTGCCTACTTTCGACAACCGCTGCTTGCGTTCGATTGCTCGCGTATGGTGAGCAACGCGGAAGTTAGAAGAAGAGTCATGGGAGTGGACGGTCCTTGTCTCCAGAGCATACTTATCCAGCACCGCTTGAGTTGGCTCGGTCAAGTACTGCGCATGCCGGCCCACCGCCTTCCACGTCGTGCAATATATGCATTTCCTGCACGCCAATGGAAAGAGACGAGGCGGATAACCGAAGAGCTAGAAAAGGAACATGAAGATTCTAACTTCGTGTCTAGCGTCAGTTGGATCTGTGCGTCTCCCAGGCTGGGTACCACGTGAAGCGAATTCCCAATGGTTGAAAGTCTTAGAGGATATGGCCCGCAATAGGAGTCAATGGCGTCAATGCTGCTCTACCATATCTTCATCATGTAATTGTAATTTTGAACAAAACATAAAAACAAAAAATAACAACAAAAGCTCAAAACTGCGTGTGTGAAACTGAAAGTTTTTTCAAACGTTTCACTCTCTCCCTCTCCTCGTTGAACATTATATTCTCCTTTCCCCACCACCATGGTTCTGATGGCACATTTGTCTGTTTATAGCCCCAAGCTGGGGCTGAGGTTGCATTCATGATGCTTGTTCACCGCAGTTGTGCTAAATGAACGTACATTTAAATTAGGTCTTTTTAAGCTGGATAAATTTCATTCCCCTTTATTTGGTTTGTTCTGTCTAACAAGATAATTACTATTAACTTGCACACGTTGCTTACGCTAATGGTGGTTATCTTCGTTAACTTTATTGCGTTTGCAACATCTTTTGAATAACGTGTGGACAACTTGTACTTATCGCAGATTCATTGCTAAGCAACTTAGTTTATATTCTAATGTAGCGAAGAGTTATATCGGCATGGCCGTATGCTTTAACAGATATATTTTATTTGAAAATGTCGTTTCAAGTGATTGGTTGTTGTTTGACATCCCCGGTGTGGCTGCGCTTGATGTGTATGCTGACAAGGTGCATACCTGTCTATTAACCACTACGTCATCCATACTGGCTAAAGGAGACAGTTGGCCGTTGCTGGAGGGAACGGGGTGCACGGTCCTTGTGCCCGTGCTAGGCTCAAAGAGCGGTTCCATGCACTCAGTGTGGAGCGGACTACGGTCCAGCCACCGTCTTGTGTGCGTTTGATTCCCCAAACACAGCGTGCTTGTGTTTGCCTGTGAAGGAGTGTGGGTCGGCTCCGTTGATGAAACGTGGCTCCCATCCGCATGCCTCCCGGACTTATTTCTCCGGGTTTACACTGCATATGAGGTGTGTGGATGGAGCTGTGGGTGGTGCAGCGCAAGCCATCCATGGTCCCTCTGTAGGCTCAGGCGTCCTTCGGCTGGCCACAGTGACAGGCAAATCCGGATGCCGCCAATCATTATATATATATATATATATATATATATATATATATATATATATATATATATATATATAAAATCCGCCTCGACATGGTCTAGTCGCTTCTTCAAATAGTTTGAGCGCATAGAACTGCGCATGAACGCTGGTGGAGGGTATTTCGAGAAACTGTAAAGCTTGGTTTGCCATAAAAAATAAAATCTTTTGTGCATCCGGAAACTTAGTTGGTTACACTCGCACATTATTTGCTCAGGAAAGTGGCCACTTAACGGGTAAAGACACTAGAATCATATAAAAAGGAGTATAATTGTCGTTAACGAGTTACCTGCAACTGGATGAATTGCGAACCGGATCCGCTTGCCCTGTTTGGTCAACTCTTTTGCCAGCTCAGCCAAAGGGTATTGGGCTTTGGCTACGCACAAACCGTACCCGGGTGTAATGATAATCTCGTTGCTATCACGCAATAGGTCGGCAACGGTCCGAACGTCGGTCTCGCGATGGGTGCCTGGTCAATAGACGTGAATACCAAAGGGAAAGGAAAAAATCGTTACGCAAGAGCAGTTGAAGGAACTAACGTGCGTCATATTGAACTGACCGTAAGCGACGGAAATCACCTGTAATGGCCATAGCCGGTCCACCAGCGTACGAACTGGTGCCGTAGCCGCCCATAATCACACTTGGAAGAGAGCGATTCATTGCTTTGCACATTATGTACGACAGAATGGCACCACTGGATCCGATTAGCGCACCGACAACGGTCATGAGGTTGTTGTTCAGCATAAAACCTTCGGCGCACAGTGCCCATCCGGAGTAGCTGTTGAGCACGGTGATCACCACTGGCATATCCGCACCTGAGTGGACGAGTAGAATGCAAAACAAATGAAATATGATGAAGAAACCGAGAGTAAACGGGTACATGAAAAGTTGGAGTTGCTTCACCGGCCACAGAGAAAAAGGAGAATAGGCCAGTGAACACTACCGAGCAACCTGCACAATGTCCATGAGGTAGCGTTGATGCAGGCATATTTACTTGCTCGGTGGTAAGTGGGGAATGCGGTAGAAATACAGTGAGGAACCAGTGGGATTAGAGTTCATAGTGACAACAAACGGCTGTCTAACTTATAATGAGTAAGGGAAGCTTCTAAAAGAGCACGTAATATCCGTACCGTTCGCAGACGCTGAACGCAGTGAGGTGAACGAGTGTGAAACGTGCAGCGAATCATATACTACACAGATTGCGCCTATGTCCGCGCATGCGCAATTTTATAAGCTTAAGTGGTCACATGAAGACAAAGGCCAATGAAAATCAGGCTGATGATTGCGCAATGTTAGCTGACAACTGATCCACTCGGTCCTAAGGTAGTGCACAGGACATGTGCAAAGGGAACGGAGAGTCGAAATAGACACACAGAGAACGGGAAGTAAGTGGTGAGTAGAGTGCTGACTAGAACAGTGTTACGGAAAGCCGGTTTACGGTCAGCGTACAAAGTGAGGACTGCGGCACAAGAATGGGTCGATCTACAACTGGACATCGAACTCCAGCAGAGATCAGACGGAAATCTAAGTGGGGTCAGTGACAAGTTGAACCCTGGAATTAAACCGTACGAGTTGTGTTAACCAATATTAATTAGCATCTCCAATATTGTCGTGTTAGTGGTTGCCTATAACCTATTTATTGTGCTATACTCTCAAACAATATGAATCCCTCGGTCCGGCTGGTCTCGGCGTTCTCACTTCGTTGCGGGTTGAATTGGTTGGGGACGGCACAACTAATTCAGGCAGGTTACCCGTAAAATCTGCGGAAACCACAACAGATTTCTGGCGACGGTCAGCTGCGCGGTAGCAGCAGGTTAGCCGTACATTCAGTGGCAACCACAACAAACAGTATCATATGTGCCACAAAAAATGCCTCTAACGCTACCCATATGTCCGACCTAAGACGTGGGTGGATATTTGAAGCACCGATAGAAGCTTGCAAACAGGTACTCCGTTTCAGAGATAACTGAGTCTTAGAATTGACCGGGAAGGTTGGTGAGTGTTAAGTGTCGGTGAGACTGGGAAAAGCAGTGCTCTCGGGAATAAACGAGCAACGTTCCAACTCATCGGGAACAAGGGTACAAAAACATGCTCCAGTTATAGAGACAATTGTCGAGAAAGATGGATAATTGATCCATTCTCATCCGCAGCGGTTAGCCAGTTAGGCGGCACATTTTGAAAAGCAGTTCAGCAGTTCTGGTGTGACTTCCGTTTGTTGAATCACCTGAGCTATATGTGAAGTTAATGTCACACCTGCTTCGGAAAAGATTCAACAGGAACTCGTTGTGTTGAAATGAAACAAGACTCATGGACCAGACGACCTTATTCCAGCTATGCTGAAAAGTGGAGTTAACTCTGATGACTGAGATTGTTGCTATAGTTGGGACACTGGTGACTGCTAATTGTCGTGTTTATCTTCAAGAAGGGTGAACAGACTTCCCAACAATGTCAATCCCTGATGACTTACCGAATTCAGTCAGTGCCGAACCATCGAAAACCAGACAAGCTTTAACCCTGGTTGTGGCTGCATTGACTAGATACTAACTCCTTGTGAATTAAAAGAGCACGGATATACCTACAGACGACAAACTATGGTGTTTTCTCTTGTTCTGAAAGTCACGTTCGACTTCGTTGAGTGTACCAAGTTGTCACTGCCTATCTGTGAAACCTGCGGCAAGGAAACTCCACTCCCTTCTGTTACTTCTCTCTCGATGCTGAGTAGAGGCGTAAGAGGAGCTCTCCCCTGAGTTCTCCACAAGTGGTGTTCTCCGGGGTTGTCCTACATCTCTTGTTCCCCGCAAAATAGTGATTGAAATGTTCAAAATGGTTCGGTTTCTTCAGACGCTTCCGGTGTGGAAATTCAAACAGGGGATCAACTGATAAACCTTGGTTATGCGGACAACGTAGTTCTCACTAAGTAGAACCGAATGGCTGTAGAAGCACTACCGATAAGATTGACGCGTAACGCTGCACACTTCGGCATTTGCTTTGCATCTTCGAATTGTCGACAAACCATCGGTTCTTGCTATCATTGAACAGCCACTGGTAGTGGTGCTCTGGTTGCCTTGGTAACCGTATCCCCCCTGGTGGTCACATCACTAATGAGCTTACTTCGCTCATCAGAAAGACCCGTGTGGCTTTTCAAAGGCTCAGCCATCTCTAGAGACGGCGGAATGCCAGCTTGTAGATGAAAAGTATAGAGTGTAAGGTTTCGTTCGGTAATGTCGGTGTTACCGTATGGATCCGAGAACTGGGTAGTTTGCGGCAAAAACATTAAATGAGTGGCTGTCCTCGATCACCGGTGCTTACAGAGTATTGCTCACGTCTGGAGAGAACACCTGGTGAGCAATGCTGAGTTCCGCCAGTTGGTTTTTGGCAAGAAGCCTTCTGGTGCCTCACTCATGTGTTCGCTGAATTGTAATCGCTTACACTGGCTGGCCCATGTCCTCCGTAAGCTCGTTGATCGTCTTCCCCGATGTGTACTACACGTTTTCGTTCCCACAAGTTGAACGAAAGTATGAGATTGTCCGAATTCGTGCAGCCCCTGAGTCAATGGCGCTTCTGCATTCGATTTCATGCGTCTAGCTGTTAATCTTCCTACCATCCTGGTTAATTTTACTCATTCCTCAACTACATCGTCTTCACGTTCCTCTAGTGTGGCTTCTCATTTAAGCACCATGGTTACGATTGTTATGTTGGTCGATATGAGCCGTGGCAACTGGACTCACTGCGCTCCGGTGCCCAGATGACAGTTTTCAAACTGGACTGAACTGCACAGGCGACCAAAGAGACAAATTAAGTTGTGGGAAAGCAGTGAGAGATAGAAGTATTATGTACAGCAAAAGGGCGGTACTCGAAGACGGAGATGGCATTCAATGCGACGGTTAATCGATCCAACATATTCTAATATAGCTGAATGTTCATTTGTTAGACGAACTATTCGCTGAGCTTGGCAATTTTGTTGCCAGTCGAAATGACATCATCGGTGCGTTCGTGTGTAGGAGAGCGGGTAGTCACGCGCGAGCGCGTTCTAATAGACCATGGTGATAGGTCGCTTTGGCATGTGACATTAGAAAATGACCTCTTCCACCCAAACCCCGGTCGCGCAAACAACGCATGTTGCGAAAATCGGTGTGTTGGCATGCGTACCATGCGATCAAGCCATCGGAGCCTGGTGCTTGATATAAGGGTGCTGAGCGGTTCACTCACTTTTCCTGCACCAAATACACGAAACCGAACACATTTCTTGTGCACGCGGTGCTCCCATCAGACATGAGTAAAGCTCCGTAGGCAGCCACCCACACTCTAACGTCCAAACATGGAGGGCCAGGAGACAGAGTTTGTCTGGCCTCTAACTATTGACCAATCTGGTATGAGTGGCGCTGAAAGTGTACAAAACCCCATCCAGCATAGCTCAATGGATCAATGAAGCATACGAACTGTCGCATCGTATTAAGGTCCAGCTCGTCGCGACGAAATGGACTAGATAAGTAGACCGCGAAGAACTTGCCCAAACTGAGTTTCGAGTTCACCAGATCTGAGAGTCGAAATGTCAGCGATGCTAAACTCCTTTGTATCCTCATCTGACAAGTGTAACAATAAAAACCAAAGTGTTGCTTCTAATATTAGAAAACTGAAAGTTGCTCAATCTATCATTGTCATAAACCATGCGTGTTCGGATTAGTCCCTGAAAATTCCCATGAGAGGCCAAATTAACCTAGTGATCGACACCCTCATTCCGCAAAAGTCGCGAAACGAACGATTTGAATCTCGGCTACTTAGTCTTGGTATGACCCCAAGGTTGAAATGCTTAGGCTTTTGGCTAGCCAATCGAGATGTTGTGCGGTAAAACAAACGCGTTGTTATCTATCATTGTAGATTGCAGAATAGAGTCTTAATGAGAGGATTGCAAGCTTCAATATATAGTCTAAAATCACTTATTACTATGATGTGTGTCGGACTCAGTAGACCAGAGTGTCGGACCAAGGGGTCCCTAATTGAGAAAGTAAAACACGCATGCAGGCTATACCATTTTACACGCGTGTTAGCGCATTGTACCAAGCTTTTAGCGTGGCACATTTTCGAAATCGCGTGCAGGGCTTTCAAGTTAACGAGGCTAAGAACGCTGTTTTGGCGTCGCTGACACTCTCGTTGGTCATGGGACGTTAGCCAATGGGACACCGGTTGGAAGCCTCCAGCATAAGCGACAGACAGTCCAATGAAAGTGGTCGAGCACCACCTTCTGTTCTATTTTGATGCCTATCTGAAGGAAACCTCGATGATTGGTCTTCGAACTGAAACCTTCCAATAGGCAACTTGTGCTGCCTGTCTAAGGGAGGAGATCCTAGCTACCACATGATCCGAATCTTAAGCCTCGACACGACAATGAAACCGCTGGTGAACCATTACTATCGATCGCTTCAGTTGGTAGTTTACCCGTTCGTTCGTACTCGTAGCCCAGTAAACTTCTCGTGTGCTCTAGACCACATTGGTCCGCTGCGTATCACACGATGCACTTTGGGGTCGAGTCTGCGAACACACCAAAGGGAAGACTAACAAGTGTGACGCTGTGCGCGCATGCAGTCGTATGGACGCTTTCGGTCATGTTGACTGAACGGTCTGATTTCAGAGAGAACGCCTCGGCTTTCCTTCAGGCGCGCATTGGTGCGGCACAGAATGTGCTGGTACTTTTCAACAAGAGCATATTTTGGAACGATTGTTTTGTTTAAAACTACCTGCAGGATGGTAGTAGGCTTGCAAATTCGCTGTACCATTGGCTCCGTTTGTCGGTCGCATATCTGTTGATCGCAATCGGTGTACCAGCACACTTCTATGGTGTCGAGGGTGATCAGCCAATGGGAGACATAATACGTGATTGGTCATGCTGCCAATCTGGCGTAAGGAGGTTTCACTAGCACGCGAGTGAGATGACATCAAAGTGAGTGGTAGTAAGAAGCGGATTGGTAGTTTTTGTTGAGGCTGCAAATCTTGTAGGCTGCTGGAAGAGAAGCTTTGGAGGCTTACACGAGCGAGATTACATCTAATTGAGTAGTAATAAGAAGCGGAGTGATTGATTGTGTTGAGGCTGCAACACTTGCAGCTTGTTGGAAGAGAAGTTTTGAACGCTTACGGGTTGACTGCACGGTTGCCTTCCTTGCTCGCTTGCCTATCTGGCCACACGTGATACGGTATGCAGTGTAACCGTGCCACTGCGAACAATCTGGATAATCGATCAGTATGCCATTTCGTTTAGGAAATGCATGTGATTGTTAAGGCAATGTGAGGTAATCAGAAACAATACAGTACTTCGTACGAAGGAGATAAATCTAGGACTTGCACACAAATAGAAATTTTAAAGCCTTTACAACTACAAGGGTCCTGTGCTGTGTTGTTTCAGTGGGCCGTACACTCATGTGAATAGTGTAGATGCGTACTGCCGATGTAGTCGGCGAATTGTATACTAAGGCCAAGTTCGCTGAGTGGGTAAGACCATCAGTGGATCTGTAGCCATTGTTCCAAAGAGGATGGTTCCTGGTGGGGCGGTGACACGACATTAGTGAGCGTTCGTTCGTCTCCACACCTGTGGGCCACTTCGGTAATCAGTTACCGCCCCAGGAACCATGGAACTGCCGTTATGTTAAGGTCGTAAGATGCATGTCAATCCTACGTTTCAACAGGATATTTACATTTCACTTCCAAGTGGTTGATAAGCTTGAAATACCAAGTGACCCAAGGGCCCTGATATGATCTGCCAACGAGCATTGCATATGCATAGTAAGCATAGAGTTTGCTGCAATTTTCCTCCTTCAACAATGCCTCCGGAATTACCTACTTTTCAATGACAAAATGTTTCCGAGTAGTTGTCAAGTCGATAACAACCTGTGTCACGGTGTGCACACATGACTGCTTCTAAGACTAGGTGAAACAGTGGTCCATAGCAGGATTAGTGGTCGCGGTTGCCTTTGTAAATGATTGTAAACACATTGTAGGAACGCCCGTGGGTGAGACAACAGTGTTTGTCAGTGCTAAGTATTCACCTGAATTATCAGAGTAAAATGCGTACATCGCCACTAATTATCAACCTTGCGTTTTTTCTAGCAAAACGATGTGGCATGTATAAATACCGTAGTCATAGTAGCCCCTTTAGGTGTTTTTTTGTTGAGCAATGCCGATTTCATGAGGATAGCATTCTAGTCCATGGACGTTAAAGGGAGGTTCCATCTGCATTGACTGTGCTTCTAATGGTGCCATTCCGAGAGCCACTTGTCAAAGCGTCTCAACACGTATGAGGGACCATATGGAAGTGAAACCTAATTATCCTATGAATACATAGGTTCCTATGACCTTTACATAACGCCATACATGGAGACACTGAAGCGATAACTGGTTAACAAAGTCGCTCATGGGTGTGGAGACAAACGAACACTCACTAACGTCGTGTCAATGCCACACTTGGAATCCTCTTAGTTTGTGTTTAGTCATCAACTGTGATAGAAGTAAGCAAACATAGTACTTTCGTTGTTCAGCTTCAGGTTGGTCTACCAACTTCAATCGGAACAATGTCCCCCATAATCGTCGCACTAACAATCGCACAAAATTGTCTAACCGCCTAGCAGCCATTGCTGAACTGCAGAATACCAATTAGAAGACTGCCTGTCTACGCCACCATGGTTAGGCCGCTGCATAAGCCACCACCAGGTAGCCGCTAGCGATCACTAAGTATAGACCGCTTCATGTGGTGGTTAGTATGTCTGTCCGCACTGGTTACGGCTTAAGATTCGGATCATGTGGTAGCTAGGATCTCCTCCCTTAGACAGGCAGCACAAGTTGCCTATTGGAAGGTTTCAGTTCGAAGACCAATCATCGAGGTTTCCTTCAGATAGGCATCAAAATAGAACAGAAGGTGGTGCTCGACCACTTTCATTGGACTGTCTGTCGCTTATGCTGGAGGCTTCCAACCGGTGTCCCATTGGCTAACGTCCCATGACCAACGAGAGTGTCAGCGACGCCAAAACAGCGTTCTTAGCCTCGCTAACTTGAAAGCACTGCACGCGATTTCGAAAATGTGCGACGCTAAAAGCTTGGTACAATGCGTTAACATGCCTGTAAAATGATATATAGATAAGAGCAAAATGTCAGTAGCACAATGAATCAGTTGAACGCTTGAGGTCCCAGTTTGGACCATACGTTGTCATTCAAGTACAACCTGGATAACTCGACCACGACATGGTTAAGCGTAGGATTAAACGCGGAGTTTACCAAGTTCAAAAGCACTTAATCCTCATTTATCTAGAAGACCAATGAAACTTCACCGATGGAGAAACACGTGTAAAGGCACCGGAAACTCACCGCCGATGGCTGAGGTGAGCGTGAGACCAGAGACACCGCCGGCGATAGCGGCTCCACCCAGCAGTAAGGCCAACCCGGTTCCATATGCCTCGGGACCGACAGATAGCAGGCCAAGAAGACCAGCGCCGGAAATGGCGACCAACCCGGCGTTCATGGCATGGCGTTGTGGCAGCAAAAGTGGTGCAGATTTCAGCAATCCTGAGGGTAACAAGACGGGTAGAATAATAGCGCAGTTGATTAAACAGCGAGCTGACAATATATACATATATATATTCCTGAAGAATAGAGACAAAGCCAGTCATGAAACCAACTAAGTCTCTTCCGAAGGCGTGGATTTAAGTATACCACTCCGAACCCTCGACCGAATAGCCTG